CAACTATAAATGGCAGAAAAATAGCATAAGGAGCTTAGCCAGATGAATGCAAGCCCCAGGGAAAACTCCATCCTATTTCTTTTGCCCCTCTTTTTGCTTAGATCTGTACACCCACATACATCATTCAGCAAATCACAGAGCACCATAGTTCCTCGTGCAAAATGTTTTGTCAAAACCCATAGTAAAAAGTTTTCACAATTTTATTTTGCTGTAGGTCAAAAGGTTTTTTCCCTTGTTCAAAGACAGTTATAGCCTACAATGACCAGATTGTTCCTGACACAGGTTATGTCAGTTTGTTGCTCCTGAAATAGCTTTAAAATTAAAATACTCATTAGCCATTACCACCTTTAATTGAAAGTCAGGTTGATTTCAGCCAAAGCTGAAAAATAAATTCTCTCTCCCCTTGCCATGTTCCATGATAATGGTACTAAAATAGAAATAACCATGATCACTAAAGCATCATTTTTTAACATCAATTTAAAAAATGCTTTCACGCTTTTCCTACCTCCATGTGAAATGACCTTTTTGTAAGGTTCAATGACTTTCATATCAATTCTCTGTTCTTGTTCTCCAATAACCACTGTTCTCCATAACCTGTTGTCCTCTCTCTCCTCTTCAGCAGTGTACTCTGGAATTGATTCAGACTCCTCCTGGAAAGCAACGTTGGTAGCAGTCTGCTCTTCTGAAAAATAAAATTTCAGGTATTACTTCTTCCTGCAAAACCTCTAAATATTTTTGCTGTGACATCCATTTGAAATGGATGACTGAAATTAACTAGAATTTTACGGTACTGGTATAAATAATAGAAGGCTGTGATGATCTGACAGTCGGTAAATAAGAAGTTTCTATTTTTTAAGGCTTTTCATAATTGTGAACATAAAAAGAACAACAGTAATTATCACTATGCAGAACACCAGCAAAGGATTTCTGCATTTTCGCATCCAGTTGGTAAAACTGAGCAGCTGTTCTCTAGAGTTACTGCACTGTAGGCCTTTAAAAATGTTTGTGCTGCAGGTATGGGAACTATGGAAAAAAAAAAAAAGGAACTAAGAGTAACACAGCAATGCTTCTTGTGTAGGGAGGAATTACCAGAGAGATATAGCTTCTCAGCTTTTTCCCAGTTTGCCTCCAATGTCTTCACATCCGCTACCAGCGAATATGAAGAATGCTCATCTTCCTCTGCTTTGGTCATGATGACTCCTCATAGAAGCACAGCACTTTTATCCCTCAAGGTCTGTCAGTTTGAGGTTAAATCCCAGTTCTCTCACAGATGTGAAGTACAGAACAGCCAGGCAATCTGGCCTGTTCTACAGGCACCCTTGAGAGAACAGGTACATGTAGTCGGCAGACAATGACCACAATATACAAACTGCATGGCTGACAGGTGACCATGAAGTCTCATAACACAGACTCTCTGCTGGATACTCCTGATATCAGAAAAACTGTGAAGTGATTAATAAAATCTACATTTCCATTGCACATTGATGAGATGACTCTTAAGAATAAATTTAACAGCATTCCAAATTTTTGAATTTAATAGCTGTTTACAGAAAAAGTGACATGAAAAGTGGTTATGCCCACAACTGGAATTATTTAATTTCTCTCTTTAGTAATTGTTACAACACACCGATTTTCCCAAGAGGGGAAAATAAAAAAATTCCCCTCTTTTGTACTATTCTTGCTGAAGCACCTTTGCCTTGTGTCTGTGTGCATATTACTAATTTACTTTAACAGTAAAGACTGTATACATTTAATGCATTACACATATTTGAAGTACACTGCTCTTTAAGCATTATTCTAGCTCTGAAGCCATAAGCAAGCCAGAATTTGATTATGCAAGTCAACAAGCGAGGTAACAGTAAACAAATAGAGCAAGATACAAAATTACATACATGTGTGTACCTAAAAAGGTGCAGAGATCTTATTTGAAAATACCAAAGGGATCTATGAGAATTAAGAACAACTAAAAGAAGCGATTTGGACTGACAAGAAGTAAAGAACACAATGTTTCATAGAAGTCATCAAACCATTCTATGTATTCTATGTTATTTACAGATGCCTCTTTGGCTAATGTTGCTTTTTAAACTACTCACACAGATGGAAATATATGATCCTTAAGACACACCAGTTTATCATAAGAATTAAATCAATTATCTTTATGAAATCAGGAATATGATAGTATACTGTGCATATATCACATACCATATATCATATATCACACACACCTAGACAGAACCTATGGGCACACATGCTTAAATGTACTGACTTGATTTGTATAACTGATTTCTCCATTAAAACCATCCAATAATTTCACCAAATTTTTCAGGAATACCAAGTTCCCCAAAACACACCAAAATAAAAATCTTTGAACCTTTTAAAAGAATAAATATATTAGGTTGAGCACACATTTGTCGGTACAGTAAGACTAATAAGTCTGAATTTCTTCTGCTGCCTGTCTTGTATTTTCTGTCCCTAATGCAAAGTATTACTAGGGAATTATATTGGCAAAAGGTCTCCCTCTCTGAGGTAGATTCTCTCATGTGTAGTGAAAGCTAAGCCTATCAACAATTCTTTCCTTTACCTAATTCTTGCCTGTTGGAATCTTGAAAGCAAGCAGTCATACTTGACCTCCTGCTTCCCTGTCTAAGTAGCCTATGAGTTAAAAAAACATAGTAAAAATTGTATTAATGGTGGAAACAGGGATGGAAGATCAAGAAATATATACACATGCATCTACAATGTGATCACTGCCACGACCCACTGGGGACATGATGCTCGCTGTAAGTTCTTGTCAGGTTGAACAACAACACAGGACACGTGTCAGGGAGCTCTTGTGCTTCATTGTATGGTACCCATAACTCCAGCAACCAGCCCACTGTTAAGACTCAAAGGTGTTGGCTAACAAGCCCTAAAATTCTTACAATACACTTCCACAGGAGTGGTGGCTAACAAGCGCTTAATTTGGTACAGTACACTTCAGTAAGTTCTCACTTCCCACAACAAACTTCTCAAAGCTGCTGGCTCACAAGCCACAAAAGACCAGCTCAAAGGTGCTGGCTAACAAGCCACAACACAATTCCACAAGCTCCCTCCTCACACAGCAAAGTTCAGTACAAAGTATGGGATAGAAATGATAGCCCAGCTGTGCCCAGGAGAAGCAAGAGGGGAGAGAAATTAAGACAAAAACAGGGAGAGAGAACAAACAATATCATCAGTCCTTTGATCCTGTGCTGCCCTGCCACATGGATGGTCTGGAGCTGGGGTAAACAATGAGAGTGTAAGAGAGGAAAAGAGAGTGAGGGGTCCTGATCCACTCCCTTTTATAGTTAACCTAGTGCAAACCTCTTATCTAAACTAGATTTTTCAAGCTGTTCTGTTCACGTGTGCACAGTCAGCCCTCTGAGCCCTTCTCCAGGAAGTCAGTCACAGTGAGGACTGAGCAGGAGTCTCCAGGTGAAGCAGGAAGAGTTGGCTCAGAACAGCACTGCCCCACCTCCACAGGACCCTCTCTTCCTTTCCTGTCATAGCAGTCAGAACATATGCAGCAGACAAAACATACTCAGGTCTGGTCCTCTGCAACCACATAAGCCTTTCTTCTTAAGAACTTCAAATTAAGAGAGTTTGAGGAACTCTAAGGTTGGAATCAGACTGCAAAAGGTGCTTTTTTTTTTTCTTCAAGTAGAGCACTTCAAATTGGTTTAACAGTTGTTGCTCAGCAGGTTATGTATTGAGGAACTGAAAATATATATTCATTGTCTGCTCAGGGCATGATGCTCATGGTGTTTAATGATAACATTCAGTTTCGAAATACCACACATTCTGTGAATTGGGAACAAGCATACAAAATGCATACCCCTTCTCCCTCCAAACCTAGACATCTTAATGCAATCTTGTGTGCTGTTAGTTTTGTTAAGGTACTATTGGCAACAAGGTGAAAAACACGTGTACAGTCAAGCTATTCAAACCCTGACAGGCCATCACAGGCAGTCCACTCCTCTAAGGACATAGTGTGCCCACAGGACGCTACTGTGTAGCTCAGGTGCTTTCAGAATAGATAGATGGGTGTGATGGTTTAACCCCAGCCAGCAGCCAAGAACCACACAGCCTCTCACTCACTCTCTCACCCATGAGATGGGGGAGCGAATCAGAAGGGTAAAAGCTATAAAAACTAATGGGTTGAGATAAAGACAGTTTAATAGAGAAAGAAAAAGCTGCACACACAAGCATAGCAAAACAAGGAATTAATTCACTGCTTCCCAAAGACAGGAGGTGTTTAGCCATCTCCAGGAGAGCAGGGCCCATCACGCGTAATGGTTCCTTGGGAAGACAGACGCCATCACTCCAGATGTCCCCCCTTCCTCCTTCTTCCCCCCACCTTATATACTGAGCATAATGTCATATGGTATGGAATATCCCTTTGGTCAGTTTGGGTCACCTGTCCCAGCTGTGTCTCGTCCCAATCTCCCATGCATCCCCAACTTCCTTGCCAGTGTGGCAGTACGGAAAGCAGCAAAGGCCTTGGCTCTGTGTAAGCTCTGCTCAGCAATAACAAAAACATCTCTGCATTATCAACTCTGTATTCTGCACAAAACCCAACCATAGCCTCATACTAGCCTCTATGAAGAAAGTTAACTCCACTCCAGCTCAAATCAGCACAATGGGATTATCAGAACAGTCTCAAAAGACTGTCTAGTCAGCTGGCTCCTTGGGTGGTAGAAAGAGCATGGCCAAAGCAGAGAACTGTAGCTGGCAGAACAGCTCTAGTGAAAAGAGGCTGGGCTAGGTAACTAGCAGACTAATGATGAAATTTTATTTGCGGTTTGGTAAGTTTGTTTTTGGTTGGTGCAACTGTAGATGACAAAAAGTGTCTAAGAGATCCTGATAAAACTTATGGTGATAAAACTGGACAAATTAATTATTTTTTGATAGAAATGATACTAGATTGCCTCTTCCTGATGAAGTAGCTAAGCTGTACAGTCTGGAGTGTTGATTTTGTAGAAAAAGATGCATCAGTGTGAAATTCAGAAAGGAAATAAACATCTGCAGATGAAATAATATACTCTGACTTTCCAAATAATGCTGGTTTGGGGGCAGGCCTTCACCGATATTCATACATGGTTTTCAGAAATGCAATTTTTATGTAATCTAAAACAATAATCACAAAGCTCATTTCAGAAACTAGCATGGGTTCTGAAAGAGAATGTTTAAATGTATATTAGTGACAAAAAAACCCCCACTGTGAAACTGATGATGAACCAATCTCTAAATAAGTCAGGTGCTAGTTTAAGAGAAGTATTTTAGTATTTCTGCTGTCATCTGTTTTCCTGCACATTGCAGTTGTGATCATCCTTTGCCATCATTCTTTTAAAAAAATGAGTTTTGGTATTACTCATAATACAGAGCCATAAGATTTTCATTGATGAGTTGGACACCTGAACTGTGACAACGGTCTTGCTTTTCTCAGATGCCTTTTTATAGTTCAAAGGGACCTTCAACAGTCTGATCATGACAAGCTAAAAATCACTGCTCTCTACAGCCTCAGCAGCTGTGTCTTCTCAGTATTTACTTCCCTGGATTTGGCACTAGTTAAAAACACTGAACTGTGGGAGATTGCAACATCAGAGGGCATATCCAGTTAACAGAGTACAGAAATACAAAGATAATAATAACTGTTTTCCATGCAAATAAACCATCCTGCACTGGTTCATATGACAATCATCTTAGCTATCACATTCATATTATGTACTTCTTTTATTACTGTCTTATTTTGATAAAATGTGATTTTCATTTCCTTTTTCAATCTCTGTTCATGGCTCATTTAAATGGAAGACATTTTGATTATTATTGATATCTAAAACCAAACTACACAACTGTGCAAATGTCACCAAAAACACAGAGACCTTGAGCTCTTCACTTAGGAGTTCAGTGAAACTGGTCCAAGTTTAAGAACTGAACAAACTATCACATTTCGAAAACAGCAAAAAAAACCCCACTGGGTAGAAATGCTTGCCATAAATACAACTGCCACCAAAATCACTGGGGTTGAATTTAATTACTTGAGGGCTTAAAGGCAAAATCTGTTCTACTGCAGACAGAGATTTTTATTCTCACATGGTGGTCACAACAGTCTAAGCACGTAAGCCTGCGTGTGTGTGTGTGTGTGTGTTAGTTTTAACCTTCACTTTAAAATCTTCTAACCATCAAGCAGCTCTTCACTACACTCTGCATCTACCCATAAGGAAATCAGCCTTCTAATGGGAAGTGACATTAGAGACACTCATGCATGACTGAGTACACAGTAATGCCTCTTTGGCAATATCACTTAAACTGATGCAACTGTTCTTGTATGCCCAAGCAGTCTCACAAGCATCAGAGAAAGTAAATGCATGGGAAAATTCAGTTTATCTTGATCCATTTTTAAAGTCTCTTTCTGCTTTATGTTGTAAAGTGATCACACACATTTTCCCCACAAAAGGCTTACGATCTCTACAAATTTACATCAGTGATTACAGCTCTTATCTGTTTCATAAGCAAGGAACAAGTGTTAATACCTTATTTTATACATCATGAAGGTAAGCAAAGTGAATAAAACAGTGTAAAATACTTTTAGACCACAATTCTACAAGAGAAAATCATTAATATGTGAAGGAAAAATGATGCATCCATTGCACACTTCAAGCTGTATCTATACTGTACAGCTATCCCAGCTGAGAAAGCACATTTAAAATAGAGGAATTCTGCTGTTCCAACCTCTAAGCTAGCTTTATCATGTCATGCACCTATCTTACACGTCAGCTTTCCAACCATACATGGGAATAAAACCCAGACCTTCTTCCCTAACAAAAAAGACCTCTCACCATATCGTGTCTACTTCACTTACACACTGCAAGGTCTCTGGTGCAGCTTATGTCAGCCAACACATTTTGCACAAGGTTATATCCCTAAGTACTACTGATGCAACTGTAATCTAGAGCTGGCCAGGTGCAGTTAGCTATGTGCTCTCTACAACAAAGATCAAAGATAGCTCAGCTCTCTCCTTCTTGAACAACTGTTTTCAAACAAGTCCTATGATACTGGACAAAGACAGGACTCAAATATGATTCTTTCTAGGTAGCTGCTCTTACTTTATTAGATCACCTATACTACTACTTTCTGCACTCTGAACAAGCAGAAATATAATACTTTACCCCAGGGAAAGAAAGGATGAAAAATATGAGACAGTAAAAATACCTGGATGCCTAGCATTAACTCTCTAATGTTTTAACCATAGTGATGACCTGACAGACATGAGACTGATCATGTAAGCAGAAAAGAAGGAAACAGAGATGAATGTTAAATTTACAACCTAGAATATTACCTTGTCCAGTGTACTCAAACGAGTCTGCTTCATCAGGAGTGTCAAGGTCATCTACATTGATGTCAATTTCATCAGGTGTATCCAAATTATCATCAGAAAGCATAGACCCGTCACTGTGGTCTAAGGAGAGATTGATGTTTGGAGCAATGAGCTTTATCCTTCTGGGCTGGGAGCCATTAAGATCAAGCGAATTGGGAGGTTCTGGGAAAAAAAAAAAAAAAAGAAAGAAAGAGGGAAAAAAGAACTTTAACTACTCCACATACAATTCATTCCCCAGATATTAGAAAATCACCTTCAAACACACTGTGGCAGATCCATTTTAGTAACACCATGCCATTTAAGACCATCCTACACAAAACACAAATGTCAACATTAATGTTTAATGAAATAAAACAAGTATCTACAGGAATGGCACATGTAGCTCAGAGCTCTTAAATTATGCAAAACTCCGATTCACTTTTTTGCAGTCATCAGACAAATCAGGCCTTGAACATCCTCTGACCCACAATGTTTAAGAACGTAAACAGCAATATGCAAATCATTTGATTTACGAACCAACACATCGCTGAGTCCTGGGAAAATTCATATGAGTGAAAATCTCCTGTAAATAATTACTTTCTTATTCATTTGCTGCTATTTGAATGGCATTGGATTGCAGGTAGTTACGTATTTAGTTTCAACTATACAATATCTTACTCAATACAATAATAGAAATAAAAATACCTCTGAGTCTCTTAATCAGTCTTTAATGGAATTAGCCTTCAATAAGACAAAAGCTAGGTATGACCTTGCCCCTTGCCTCTTGCCTTGTGCGGCACATTTCAAGCTGTTCTAACTTAGCTCACTTAGACAGTAGTCAATTATAAGGTAAATAATAGGCTATTAAAATATCACAAGGACTGAACAAGTGATAACAATGCACAAGAGAAAATGTCACATTACAATTATTATTTCCCAAGTGAAGAAGAAAATTGACTAAATAAAGCAAACTTAACACATTTTCTTTTTAACACTGAACTGATTCTTTACCAGCACAGACAAATCCTTCACTGCATAATTAAAGAGCATGAGAATAAGATAAAATTAAGAAAATGAGCAAGAGCTTCTCTCACCTGGTCTCATCTCGGTAGAACTGGGGCTTAGTACACCGTCACCTAAGGGGATGTCCATTCCCATATCCTCTTGTACCAACCTGAGGGACAAAATACAAAGTAAAATCTAAAAGAGATGCATGGATTGACCTTGCTATCAATACAGCTCATGTGATCTTATACAGAACTGAAATTTCCTTCAACACAGCCAGTTCAGAAGTCTGAAAAGAAACTGATGTGAGAAACAAACACAGCTGTAGTAATCGTACTGTGCCATTCTTAACCCTAATTTGAGCACGTCTGTAGAGCCTCTGGAGGCTATACCCACTTTTACTTTTATCAAGACACAGCACTGAATACTAACAGGTTGGCAAACAGCAATGTTTCTCATTTTATACAAATGAAGTTGGTCTTTTGTCATCTGGCAAACCAGACACATCATTGCACAGAGCCTCAGCTACTCTTGGCAAAACAGTATATTCATGACTGAATATATAGTTCCTGTATAGCAAAAATGAGATAATGAATGAGGTTTTGCATTCTTTTGGTATCATTTGTATTTTAGAGCAATTCTGACCCAAATCACCAATACTGCAACAGCTGATGTAGTGCACTGAAAGATTTCAAAAAGTACAAAAGTGAGAACCAAAACTACATCACAAATTTTCAAAGACAAAAGCGTTGCAAAATATCCCACCTAGACCCCATTTCTTGGAAAATACTAAGAAATTACATTTTACATACATACATCCATAAGACAAGGAAAAGGCATGAAGTGGTGAAAATAACAAATACGGTTGAATGCTGAAAGTAAATTGACTTGAACTGTTTTTGTGTCTATTTGCTATTCAAGTATTTTACAAAATACTTGCTGGAAGAATGGTTCAACTGCAAATAGGAAACAACATTTTACATTTTCAGGACACACTTGACAGCTTCCCAACTATTTGCACTAAAAATGTATGACTCCAGGAAAGCTTCACTCATGCCATCAAAATAATTGTAGCTTTTTTTTTCCTTTATCACTGTTTCAAACTCTATTTTTAAAGGGATTTTTCTTTCCCACAAAAACTAAGAACAAACCAGTTTTAGACTTTGACTAACAGAACTGTGGTGAGATCAAAGAAGGTACTTTTCCTGCCACAGCATCAGCTAGCTATGTTCTGAATGATTCAGCTGAATGGATCTGAATAGGCTTGGCTCATCGCTCCTGCAGTTTCTTCCTACCCTCACTTTCCCTGCAAGGAGGACTACTCATTATTTTACTGTGTACAGACAAGACTCTTCTGGTCAATCACTGTATCAGGGTATGAGTATAGTTTCTGTGATTTCTTGTTAATTTCATGTAAATTATATATAAATGTCTATGTCTAGGCCTGCCAAAGGCTTCACTGTGTTTAAAGGTGCAAAAGATCTTCACCTCAAGCCCCATGCCATCAAAATCCCAACACAGACAGGCAAACAAGTGAACTCTTTCTTTTCTGTGAGGCCATAGAAAGTATAGAAAATTTAAAGCTACAGTCGAACATGCTTGCGCTGCTCAACTTATAGCCAAACCTTGTTCTCTCAATATAAATTAATTTTACTAATTTTGATTTTATCCCCACATACTGTATACACAAATACAGAGATGAACAGCTTAATGGTTTTTACAAAACATGCCAATTCCAGAATTTGTTTAATTACTGGCAAATAAGGCTTGAAATACTCTCTTTGCATACACAATAGAACAGTGAAGAAATTTGATCAGAGTATCCTGCTCATGAACAAAATGAATGGCACAAATTGTCTGTAATGTATTGTTTCCTTTTTTCCCCTCCCACTCCATAGAATTATGAGTTCAGAAGCACTAAATACCATTACAATTTACTTAGAAAATGTAAACAAATCATTAGAGTATTTGGCCTTTTTTTGGTGTCTGTTCAATTCATAGTAAAATAAGTGTAATGAAGACTAATTCATTCATCTGAACCTAGCAGAGAGAAATCTGAATTCTAAAGAAGTGTTGGAAGTAACAG